ATGAAGAATGAAACTCAATATCCTTCTTGCGTTTCCTTCTTTATTTGAATTTACCTAGCATAAGTTTTTGAATAAACAAATATGCCTAGACGATGAAAAGCTTCTTTTCCATCGATTCCGTGATAAACTTACTAGAAAATGGAATTTCTTTTAATTAATATTCCAGAAAAGCATGTGAATCCAAGATGTGAATCAGGCATTCCTAAATAAATGCAGAGGTTATTTTCTTAGTACCACTAATCTATAGTCGTGATGATGCCACATGATGTAATACTAGAGAAGTAACGAGTTGCCTACAACATTTTTTAAACGATTTTCAATGGAAAGAATAAATCTATGTTTAATTTTTTTTTTAATTTACATTCATTTGCCTCTAAATTTATCAACAGAATTCCGTTTAATGATGTCTGAAGCTTTTGTAGGTTTTAATATTAACTCTAACTTTCGTTCATAATTCAAATCTGTACCTCTTATGCATGACGAACTAGAGCGGGCATAACTTGTTACTATTTTTCAGTGAATGTAATTTACATTCACTGAAAAACATTGGTAAGTTCTGTTCGTTCCGGTTCATCATGCATAAGATAAACAGATTTGAGTCATTCAGAAAAGTTGTAGCTAATATCAAAACCTACAAAAGTTTCACACATTATTTCATGGAATCCTGTTGATGAAAAAAGTTAGAGGCAAAGGAATGTAAATGAATGCACGAAATTAATGTAAATGATTTGCCAAGCCTGACGAGGAGCATTATCTAGAATAAAACAAAGATTTTTTTTAATATTACTCTGCTAAAGATATTATGACAATTTTATTTACTATTCTTAGAGACGTTAAAATACTTGGATTTTTTTACGAATGCAACACTCTAAGCTAAGATTATCTTAAATTATTGGTTATTTTACCGATAAAAATCGTTACTTCTTACATTAAATTGGATATTTTTTACTATAAATTAGTACATTTTTAACGTTAATTATTCGTAATCCATAATAGCCGATAATTAAGGTATGTGCACTTTCTTAGATTATCGGTAGTTTTTACCGATATCTAGGTATTCTTTACCAACTTTTAGGTATGTGCATCTTAGCGTGAATCTTCTCCATGTTGATGGTGATCATTGATTGATTGTCTGCAATCAATTCAGGTGAAAACTACTTAGTAAGGTTTAACAAAAATGTACGAAAATTAAAGGATTTGAGCATAGTGATCCAGTATGATACGTCAATGGATGGTGATGGTGATTTGCTTCCCAAACATCTGACGGCAACATTTGGGAAACAAACACGTACACAAACAGGTTGCTTTGCTACCGAGCATTCAATAATGAGCAACTCGAGTTACACAGAGTTACTCAAAATTAACTCCATTATTACTCATGATTAAAAGCTGTCTTGCCCCTAGATTCAGCAGAAGGATGCAAATTTAAGACCAAATTTTTTACAAAAAATTGCCCATCCGTTCACCAGAACGGTGCAGATTTTCCACCAGAATTTTTCAATATAGCTTAATTTTTAAAAAAGCTTATGCCTTCATATACCAAACCAGTGCCAGTTTTTCACCAGAAATGTTCCGTTCATTTCATTTATCAGAGCGATGCAAATTTTGCACCAGAAATTTTCAATAAAGCATGCTTTTTCATTCACTAGAACGGTGCACCAAAAATTGTCACTGAAATTTGTTTCATAATGCACCTTTGTGGTACAAATTTCAGGCTTTGCCTCTTCATGCACCAGAATGCTGCAAATTTTCCACCAACAAATTTTCAATGAAGCTTGCATTCATCAGAACGATGCAAATTATGCACCAGAAAAATGAATAAACCTTGCTTCTACATTTACCACAGTGTACCGAACTTTCCACTAGAAATTTTCAGTTCAATGCGCACCTCCAAATTTTTAGCGTGATTCAATGTTTCTAGTTTTCATTTTGATTAAATAGTCCCTCCATGCACCACCTTGATGATATGTTTACACCAGAAATATTCAATAAAAAGCTTTTTCTTTGATCTATCATCACGAAGGTGAAATTTTTCAACCTTAAATTTACCCTCTTCTTTAAACCCTCCATGAACCACCTTGAAAAAAAAAATTACACCAAAAATTTTTTGTATGCACCACTGTGTTGCAACTTTTGACCAAAACATTTCTTTGAAGTTTGTTCCTTCATGCACCTTTGTGGTGCAATTTTCAGGGACCATCGCAAAGGAATTGACGCAATAAAAGGTTTTCCGTGCTCTTATTTTTATGAAATCTCGATGAACATTTCAAATTTTCCAATCTGCTTTGATCGATTCTCTTCATCTTTCTCTTTCTCTTTTGATAACCACGGCTACGCAATGCATTTGGTGCTAATTTTGCCACACAGTTTGATAGCAGCAGTTCATATCTTGTGCTTAGAACGTTGAACACAGCAGGGAATGCTTTTGAAGTTGAGTTATTAATGGAAGAGAAAGTCGATGAAGAGAATCGTTCAATGCAAATAGGACCTTTTGAAATGTTTATCTAGAAATGAAGTTACTTTCAAATCAAGTTATCAAGAAATCAAGTTATTTTATATCATAATTTTGTAAATATGAAAATAAAAATCTTATTTATAAAAGGAGGGGCAATTGCCCCACCTTGCCCCACCCTGTGCACGCCAGTGCTATTGCGGTTCGTCTTTTCTGAGATTTGCGTTTGGTCGTCAATGCAACTGACTCTTCAGAATCTGAATCATCCGATTCAATCTGACGTCTGCCACTAGATCGGCCCCTAGAACTCCCCTCTCTGCTATCGTTACCGGCTTCCGCCCATCTTGCTGCTTCCACTCTTCGGGAAGCCTCGGCTAGCTTCAAAACCGCTTCCGGCGTCTTTCGGGCAATCGGACGACAAAAGGTGAAAACATAGTTCTTCGAGGGAACCTCCATGCACTGATCTTGGCGACAAGTCGAACCGCACGTTGCACAAAGGATCAGATCCCAACGCTTGCAATCGTCGTAATCTCGCCCATACCGACAGCGACACTCTTCAGCGTCACACTCCGAAGGACGTTCCAACTGATCGTTGAATACATTCGGTTCCAGCTCCCACGAGACATCCCTCGAACAATTAAAATAAAATATTCAGTATTCAAATACCGATTCACCCACCTCCGCCGCTTCACTTAATTTTCCGGAATATAATTGCCACACTGATGGATCTGCTGACTAAAGTCGTCCTTGTTGCACAAAGGGCAATTGAAAAAGTACCTCGCCGATTGGGCAAACTGTGCCACGTAGCTCCGATGGAACCAGCCATTCTGACAGCACGGGGCACGAATCGATTCGATTCTAGGAGTGTTTCACCTTATCCACCAGCGCTACGTGCTTATCGCACCACGACTGGAACGTTTCCACGTAATGCGACAGGCACTCATTCTGCATCCCACAAAGCGTATGGAATGAACGGAAGCACTTCTTCGCGCAACACCAAACGTTTGCATACCGTTCCTTGCAGATGTAACACTTTTGTCCTCGGATACGAGCTTCCTCATTTCTGATGTCCTCCTCCATGAATCCGAAGATTCCCTCCTCGTCTTCAGGTAACAAGGTACACGTAGCAGGTATAATGACTAGTTTTACCACGTCTAGTAGCCCGGTCCAGAATAGAGCATCGCACCATCGTACCGCAATCATGCTCAAACGCGTGACATACAGCATCTTTAGCCGAAATAAATAATAAATTGAACAAAATTGGTTTCATCCGATCCTCCTTCATTCTCACCATCTCACCTTCAGCACGTCGATCGATTCGATGGATTTCGGCATGATTTTGGAGTAAATTTTCCTCCTTCAGATCGCCCTCGTCGAGAGCTTTCAGTTTCTCTACGGAGGAGCAAATGCATACCGAGTATGGCCACCCGAAAAAAAAATAATTATAATAAAATAACGAAATTACAATGATTTTTACGGTTGAATTTCGGGCACATTATAAATTTATTGTTAAATTATTGGACGGGTGAAAAAATAAATTTCGTTTTAAAAGATACAATTCTCAATGAAAATTAATTTGATGAGATCAAATTTGTTCGAGAAAAATCAGTTTTTTTATTGTTAAGATGCTTAACAACCCCCCTTTTTTACTGTACATTTCTCATATACCATGATTTTCGTTTTGATTTTATGATAATCAACAAAAATCTCCATTCAAAATCATTATATTTTTATTGGATTTTTTTACGGTCGGGTCCTGTTTGGCGTCCAACAACGATATCTTCTCGGTCGCGAATGACCATGGCTTTGGTTAGGAGCACCGACTGATGAAATCTTTAGCAACAATTGCCGCCAAAAAGCGCGAGTCATTGACAGCTCAACATTGTTTACTTGTAAGCAAATGTTAACCCGATGTGTTTACTCCTAATCATTTTGGCCTAAGGTCTTTCATTATACAAAAGAAGTGCAGATAACAATGAACACAACATAGTGACATGCAGTTTGACAACAGGCTCTCCCTTTCAATTTTCGTTAGAGAAAAAGAGATAACAGGCGGTGCCCCAATAGCATCAACTACTTTAAGCTAGTACATATGAGTAGATAGTGTTGCCGTGAGGTACACTCGAAAATTTCAAATGTAAGTGCGTCAAACCAAATTTCGAGCCGCTCCGTCTGTCACTTCGTTTGTGGTCCCACACTTCCTACATCTTGCTCCACTTGGTCTAACCACCTAGCACGCTGTGCTTCTCTGCGTCTTGTACCGGCCGGATTTGAGGAAAACACAATTTTTGCGGGATTGTTGTCCGGCATTCTTACAACGTGTCCCGCCCATTGTACCCTTCCACCTTTAGCGACTTTCTGGATATTGGGTTCGCCATAAAGTTACGCCAGTTCGTGGTTCATTCTTCTCCTCCATACACATACACTTCATATACCCTGCCAAAGATGGTCCTAAGCACGCGTCGTTCGAAAACTCCCAGTGCTTCTCGAGCATTGTCTATTGTCATATTTTTCGTGCACAATAATTTTGTTTATTATATATTTGCAGTTCGTCAATAAGGCAGCCCAAAACTTTCCGCATTTTTGGATCATCTGTGGAACAGGCAGCAATTTTTGGAGCGATCCGTGAAGGGGAAGGCTTGCCACTTGTAACAGTGGACCAAACAAGCCAGCAACCCCGTCCAAAGTGTCTTGCATTATTGGCAAATTGGCACAGCGGGTCGATTTAAAGGGAGATCTGGAGGCGCAGCTATCACATTGTCATGATTGTCTGGTAGTTTACTCAAAAATGCTATAACAATCGCTAAGCTCGCTGTAATGTCACCAAGTGCCTCGTCACCTACAAATTGGCGCCTATGTCAGTGGTCTAATAACTCTTAGCGTGCTAATGGCATAGTTCCCCTGCCGCATAGAGAGTTGCCACAATGATATTAGGTTAGCTAAGGTCAGTTAACTGACTGGTGGGAAACGGGAGCTTAAGCAATGGCTATTCTGTATGCATTTAAGAGATAATCTACCAGAATGGATGATTTTTTTTGTACAATTTTATGTTTTCTGATGGTTTTGGTTGTGCAAAACATGAGAATTAACTTTTCCAATGCTTTCAATTAACCACTTCATTCGAGCAGGTAAAATGACGTTTACTACCACTCGAACTTTGAAATGAAACATTATTTTGAGATTTTTTCTTCCAGAACCTCGAGAAAAGTAGCCAACATTTGTGCGTTTCACAAAAAAATAGAAATTAGTTGGTCCAGTTTTGTGAAATCGCTGATAGAAAGTCACGCCAAAACTGCTTGACAAAGTGGTCAATTGTACAAAGCATTACAGCTAGGAACATGATCTTGTAAACACCACAAACCTTAACTGGTAGTTTGCTAAAAAAAAATGCTGCAACAATCGTCAAGCTCGCTGTAATGTCACCAAGTGCCTCGTCACCTACAAATTGGCGCCTATGTCAGTGGTCTAACAACTCTTAGCGCGCTAATGGCATAGTTCCCCTGCCGCATAGAGAGTTGCCGCAATGATATTAGGTTAGCTAAGGTCAGTTAACTGACTGGTGGGAAACGGGAGCTTCAGCATTGACTATTATGTACGCATTTTTATGATGTTATCTAACAATTATGGTGTGTAGTGTTTACACAATCATGTTTCTAATTGTAATGTGCTGTAAATATAATTGAAAGCATTTGAAAAGTAAGATTCTAGTGTTCTGTATATCTAAAAACATGTTCTCTGATTGATATACAAAACGTTTAAAGGAAACGTTGTTTGAATGTTTTCAAATGTAGATGTTTATACATTTGAAAACATTCAAACAACGTTTACTTCAAACGTTTTGTACATCTGAAAACATCAGAGAACAACAAACACGAAGTACAATTGAAAACATCAGAACCACGTTTAGTTCTAACGTTGTGTACATCCGAAAACATCCAAAAAACGTTTGGTTCTAGCATCAGGAAACATCTACGTTAGAAAACATCAGAATACATTTACATATAAAAACATACCAACAACGTTTAGTTCTAACGTTTTTTACATCCGAAAACAACCGAAAAACGTTTGATTCTAACATCAGGAAACATCTACATTAAAAAACATCTGAAAACATTTACATATAAAAACATCCGAACAACGTTTAGTTCTAACGTTTTTTACATCTGAAAACATCCAAAAACGTTTGGTTTTAACATCAGGAAACATCTACATATGAAAACATCAGAAAACGTTTACATATAAAAACATCCGAACAACGTTTAGTTCTAACGTTTTGTACATCCGAAAACATCCTTAAAACGTTTGGTTCTAATGTCAATAGATTGAAATTTTTGACGTCAGACCGACATTAGAATGGCAAAATTTTGTTCCAAAATTTCTGATGTATACACCATGTTACGTTGCTTAAATACAACTAAATCATAATGTTTTCTAATGTTTGACATCAGGCATACATTTGATTTCGATGCTGATGTAGACATCAAAATCAAACGTTGGGCTAATGTAAATTTCTATTCGGGCCCCCAGTGGGTTCAGAAAAAGATTGCACGATTTGAACCCATCGAAGTACTTGTCGATCGGGACCTCGGTGAACTTGTCCTGTTTGATGTTCATCCGCAGAATCGTTAGATAGGTCATTAAAATTACAATCCAATCGTTTTGCACCGACAGGAACTGGATCCCGGACGGGAAAATGGGAAAAATCGCGAAAATGGGAGGTTCCTTCTTGATGCGAACGCTTACGTAGTCCGACGACTGCGGACGATTCGATTGATCCAGCTCGCTGGTGTTTTCCCTGATTATGGCCGAGGAATAATGATCAAACATGGAAGCCATTTTGGCTGTTTTAAGTGATTTTCTTCAACACTGGATTTTACAAATATTACCTTTTGGGCAGGAAAATCAAATATAAACTGGAAAATAATTCACTGAATGTCGAATTTTCACTGGCTCAATTTGTTGGACCGAGCACTGGAATAATAATGACAGTTCCTTGTCTCAAACGTCAGGTCGATCCGCATCAGTGCTAAAAACCTGGCATAGTAATTAGATGTCATATTGCAAAATATTAGTGTAATATTACACAATTATTTGTTGAATGACCTATGTGCAGCTGTTGCTGTGTAATAATAAATTATGTTATTTATTTGTGAATATTACACACATGCACAGCAAAAAAATGTAATATCGATCAATGTAATTCAAACTGATGTATGATTGTACACACAAAGAACAAAAATTGTATCTATAAAAAATAGTCCATTTTCAATTTAAAAGTTCCCCTCAATTCCATGAACTAACTACAAAAACAGTCAACATAAAAGTTAAATTTTTGGCATAAATTTTTTTTTTTTCACGATCAACTTGTAATTTTAAAAGTTCATTTTTCAAAATTAAACGTGTTTAACTGTCAAAAATACCTCTTCAACGATGTGATTACTGCGTTTACTGGCAACCCGGGTAACCTACAATTGCCGCCTTTTCCACAAATTTTATTCCAGAAGGAATGAAAAACAGCGGCCGTAATGTAATTCTGTAATTTGCCTCGATTGTCTATTAAATATGAGTGTGTTTAATATAATCATTGAACTGTCTTCAAAGTGGTATGTGGCTGATGAGGATAGTTTCGTGGTTGGTGTGAGTAAGAAACTGAATATTATTTTAAATTTCAGAATATGGTTGCTCGTTGGAATCATCGAGAATTCATTCAATCTGATCTTTGCCTTCGACAAAACCGTTACCTTCGGATTCAGGACTTCACGGGGACAGGTTCGACCAGGTTGTGCGACAAACGAAGGAAGGGATCGACCATACGGTGAGGGTAGATCCGATGGAAGTAGCTTGATCGGAGACATGGTTTATCAATCAGATATTATGATGTCGTAGTTTGCTATCGACGACGGCTGTACCCGCTGCGTGAGTTAAAATTAGTTGATAACGAAAGTCAACACACTTAACGTTAAATTTAAAAAACAATTTTGTATTTGCAGAAAACCGGTTACTCGTAGTGGTCCCTGGTGTTCCTTTTCTGTGTAAAGAATGGCACAAGCAAGGTACAATGGATCAATGAAAAAGCAGAGTTTTTGACAGAACTGTGCTGTGGCTACCACAGTATTTTACATTTGATCGTCCATATACAGTAGCGCCAAAAGCATGTTGTGGTGGGTTCAAAACTTGACCATCTAAAATGATCAATTGCAAAATGCAGACCAACGAGGCACTCGGCGGGTATACACACATTCCAATGTATGGCAGTGTCCAGAACCGGATCATGCGTTCCGGGTATTCTTCGTGATGACCATCACCTGTCGTGATTCCTACCAAGTGTTCTATCAGCACGAGTACTTTCTAGACGTCATTTTATAACATAATTGTAAATAAATATTTTTTCTGTATAATAATGCTTTTTTTAACGTTTGTTAAAATTCAAATTAAGAAACGCTTGCTCTAAAAATGAATTTATTTTATTTCCGATTAAAAATAGCCCATGTAATTTTAACTACACCACACTTTCCTGGTAAAAGTTTGTTTTGAAATGAGAATAATCCACTTTTAATTTCAACACTGCAACGTTTTTCATTTCACAGTACTTCAATTCGTTTTGAAAGTTTCAACTTTTAAAACTAGAGAGCGGGCAACTTTTGAATTGAGAGTTGACAGACTTTTGTTTTGAATGCTTTCTACCAAAAAGAACCAATGCAAACTTTCAATTCTACTAATGGATTTTTTAATTTTATAAACGAATATTTTTTGTGTGTATGATTGTATTCAAGATTGTATTTGAGCAATCTTTATTTTATCATTGACACAAATAAGAAAATTCCGAAGTTAATAAAAAACCATGCGCACCCATCATATTTAAGTTCTAGAAATGATTTCTTTTTACACATTTTGCTGTAAAAACCGTTTTTGAAAAATGTGTAAAAAATACACTTCTATTGACGTTTGCTGGATTTACACATAAATGTGCAAACGCACACACTTAGAAAATAGTACCGAACTCGGTTCAATTTCAACCGAGTTTTTATCTGCTGAACGCTCGGTAGTCTGTTCGGTTCAAAAAGAAACAACCGAGTGTTCGTTAAAGTTTCTTTTCCCACAACCTGTCAAACTAACCGAAAAAACTCGGTTGACAAAAAGTCAATTCAAGCAGGAATAACCGAACATCGGTTTACCCAAGTATTACCGAACGCTGTCAAACAAACCGACTCACCGGTTGCAATCACGGGATTCGGTTCTTTTTGACAGCGCTCAAATCCAAAAACTTACGATGTTTCGAATCAGAAATAAAACTAGTTTTTTTTTAATGAGATGCATGATTTATATTATATTTGTCAGATGTTGTTTTAATGCATAAATATGCTTTGTATGTACTAACTATTGACAACAAACTTGAGACGAACCGGAAAATTATGGCTCACCTGTGCGGGGGGAAAGAGAGGGTTAACCCCCTTGAGGGAAACAAAAAACTTCTCACACGTCGTGATAATGCCTCCTACATGGAATTCAATCAAACATGCAGTTCCTCCAGAAGTTTTTCCATTTTCAAATCAATTCACCGTGTGACACTAACGAAAAAAAACGTCTTGCGAAAAAAAAACACAACGCGCACCCGCGAGAAAAAATGGCTGACGATATTTGGTTTAGCTGAAAACCGAGTTTCGGTTAAAATTTCCGTCGTGAAGTTGAACCGAAGTTGTGAGTTTAACGTTTGAGAAAGTTTAGCGAATATTCGGTTCAGTTTACCGAGTTTTCTCGGTTTTCAAGTACCGAACTGGTAAATATCGCTACTTTACCGTACTTTTCGGTTCAGTCTTCATTCCTATCTGTCAAATTTAACCGAAATTTGGGTTTGACTCGGAAAATACGCCTAAAAACATATTTTTACACGAATTCTTCGGTTCGTTGTTGGTAACCGATGTAGTTCGGTAGAAAATTAAACCGACTTCGGTATTATTTTCTAAGTGTGGCAGTTTACATATTTTATAAGTTACCCGCATAAACGCGAACCATAAATTGACCTTACCTAAAATGGTTAAAAATTGTTTATAATCCCTGCTAAACTTTAACTGAAATGGTTATGGAACTTTACATGAACGTTTAATGATAAAGTTTCAACCTTATGTATTATGGTTTTTTTGGAACTTACAACCTTACAAATAATGGGTTGTTAAGAACCATTATCATTCCAAATTCTTGTTTTCTCCATACATTTTCAGAAAGAGAACTATATAAGAACGTTTTTACTTATGATTTGAGAACATTAATGGTAATGGTTATGGTAGTCAGTAAGGTCCATTAATGGTTTTGTATTATCGCTCAACTTTACGTGGAATATATCGTGAATTGGTAATCAGTAAATTACAGGCAACCAATTTGCGATATATTCCACATAAAGTTGATCGATGTTACAAAACCATTCGTGGACCTTACTGACTACCATAACCATTACCATTAAAGTTCTCAAACCATAAGTTAAAAGGTTCTAATATAGTTCTCTTTCCGAAAATGTAAGGAGAAAACAAGAATTTGGAACGGTAATGGTTCTTAACAACCCATTATTTGTAAGGTTCAGTTCCACAAAACCATAATACATACACACTTAGAAAATAGTACCGAACTCGGTTCAATTTCAACCGAGTTTTTATCTGCTGAACGCTCGGTAGTCTGTTCGGTTCAAAAAGAAACAACCGAGTGTTCGTTAAAGTTTCTTTTCCCACAACCTGTCAAACTAACCGAAAAAACTCGGTTGACAAAAAGTCAATTCAAGCAGGAATAACCGAACATCGGTTTACCCAAGTATTACCGAACGCTGTCAAACAAACCGACTCACCGGTTGCAATCACGGGATTCGGTTCTTTTTGACAGCGCTCAAATCCAAAAACTTACGATGTTTCGAATCAGAAATAAAACTAGTTTTTTTTTAATGAGATGCATGATTTATATTATATTTGTCAGATGTTGTTTTAATGCATAAATATGCTTTGTATGTACTAACTATTGACAACAAACTTGAGACGAACCGGAAAATTATGGCTCACCTGTGCGGGGGGAAAGAGAGGGTTAACCCCCTTGAGGGAAACAAAAAACTTCTCACACGTCGTGATAATGCCTCCTACATGGAATTCAATCAAACATGCAGTTCCTCCAGAAGTTTTTCCATTTTCAAATCAATTCACCGTGTGACACTAACGAAAAAAAACGTCTTGCGAAAAAAAAAACACAACGCGCACCCGCGAGAAAAAATGGCTGACGATATTTGGTTTAGCTGAAAACCGAGTTTCGGTTAAAATTTCCGTCGTGAAGTTGAACCGAAGTTGTGAGTTTAACGTTTGAGAAAGTTTAGCGAATATTCGGTTCAGTTTACCGAGTTTTCTCGGTTTTCAAGTACCGAACTGGTAAATATCGCTACTTTACCGTACTTTTCGGTTCAGTCTTCATTCCTATCTGTCAAATTTAACCGAAATTTGGGTTTGACTCGGAAAATACGCCTAAAAACATATTTTTACACGAATTCTTCGGTTCGTTGTTGGTAACCGATGTAGTTCGGTAGAAAATTAAACCGACTTCGGTATTATTTTCTAAGTGTGTAAGGTTGAAACTTTATCATTAAACGTTCATGTAAAGTTCCATAACCATTTCAGTTAAAGTTTAGCAGGGATTATAAACAATTTTTAACCATTTTAGGTAAGGTCAATTTATGGTTCGCGTTTATGCGGGTAGGCCCCTTTTTCACGAAACGTGTGAAATTTTACACATTAATGTGTTTACGCTGGTTACCGTGTTCCGCATAATGAAGCCCCTGTATATCTGGCAGCTCTGTTTGTTAGAGACGAACACGAATGACCCTACTGAAAAGCGAGTCTGTTGACTAAATACATCAACAAAACAAGGGACGTCAAAAGTAGAAGAATCGAAAGGATGAGCAAAAGAGAGAGCATCATCGCAGTTTCTTGAGTTTTCTTCGCACTATCGCACAGTCGATGGACCAGCCAAAACAAAGAACTGCGTAAAACCAATTTTGTGCAAGTGAAAAACGATTTTTTCGGGTGAAAATTCATTGTAAACATTGTGAAGTTGTCAGCAAACGATATTGAAATAGCAGTGCAACAATGCTAGACTTGGAAGTGGTTCCGGAACGATCGCTCGGATGCGATAATTGGGAGTTTATTCTCGGTATGTATGGCAGTGTTTAGTCGACCATTTTTTGTCCTTCGGGTATGATTGTGCAAAAGTTACTTTTGCGTGATATCTTTGCTAAGTAGCTTTCGAGAAGTAAAAAAAAAAATCGCTATAGCAGTTTGCCTGGGCGTTATATTTGTTTAGCCTTGAAACTTTTTTTTATGGTCAAAGCTTTTCCGTTGTATAATGCAATGTTCTGGATTGTTTCGTCAGATTTTTTTATGTCGCCTCCTGCCGTATCCCCTCTGTGTCATGTCTTGGAGTGGTTTGTTCCTGTTTGTTTTTCATGATCCACTCGAAAAGCTTTGTTTTGTTTGTTATTTTGCACTGTCTTCGTTTATCTGCTGCGCATCATATGATTGTGTGAAAACGAGACAGCAAGGAGCGAGCGCGCGAGCAGTGTGGCACGTTTTCTGCCCGCGTGTGCAAAAGAGATGGATGTAGCATAAAGCTTAGGGTAAAAGAGACCCCGAATACGATGTTTTCTGTTTTTCTAGACGAACAAAATCAGCTGTTTATGATTTCGTGGGCGTCGCGACAAGGGGTCCTTTGATGGGGTATAGGTTTAGTAGGATGAAGCGAAACTATTATTAAATAATTTAAATTTTAATGCTAAAATATTTTTTGTTAATTTGAATTTCTCTTCTAGGCATGCATTTTTCCCAAGCTGTGGCAATCATACAGTCTCAGGTGGGAATCATCAAAGGAGTGCAAGTGTTGTACTCTGATACGGTAAGAACTTCGCATGCATCAGTCGTGTTTTCTTGTTGCTCATCGCGCCAATCGTCAATTTTTCAAACCTTCCAGACCCCACTCAACGTGGACATCATCATTAATCTGCCGCAGGATGGTATCCGTCTTATCTTCGATCCGGTTCAGCAGCGCTTGAAAGCGATCGAAGTGTTCAACATGAAGCTGGTCAAGCTGAAGTACTATGGTCTTCCGTTCAACTCGCCTGAAGTTGTTCCGTCTATTGAGGAAATTGAACATTCCTTCGGTGCTACTCACCCGGGAGTGTACGACGCTTCCAAGCAACTGTTTGCGCTGCATTTTCGTGGTTTGAGCTTTTACTTTCCAGTGGACAGTAAACTACAACCGGGGTACGCCCATGGGTTGGGTTCGTTGCATTTCCCTAGCGGTGCATCCCCGATCGTATCCAAAATGGCTCTCTATTGCGGTGGAAGCGTTGCCGAAAGCCGACCCCCGCCATTGCCGTTGTCTTGCTACAATCAACAGTTGTATTTGGAATCGGCTACTGTACTAAGGAATTCTTCCGGAACACGCGGAATTCGGCTGCAGCTCTATACGGAAGGATCGCCGCGTGCACTGGAACCTAGAAAGCAATGTATGACCCGTGAGGTCATGTTTGGCGATAGCTGCCAGGACGTGGCCAGCAATCTGGGTGCTCCATCCAGGTTTGTATTTTTAGGAGTGTCTGCAAGATTTTTCACATAAAGGCCAATTACTTTGCAGAGTGTTCTTCAAGAGCGAGGATAAGATGAAAATACATTCACCAAGCGCACATCGCCGAGTGCAGTCGAAGCGTAGTGATTTCTTCTTCAACTATTTCACCCTCGGGATCGACGTCCTGTTCGATGCCAGAACGCAGCGCGCGAAGAAGATTATTTTGCACACCAACTACCCGGGTCATTATAACTTCAATATGTATCACCGTTGCGAGTTCAATCTTCAGTTGGCACCAGACAAGTAAGTATTGTCACTGAACAATGTGTTATAGTTAGATCTCGGTTTTGGCAGCACGTAGTTTTGGCTGTTTTGAGCTTCATGGGGTTTACTAAATGTGAATATTTATGTTGGTTTTCTGCAAGCCCTTCCTTTGACATTCCAAATGCTTCAAAACATAAGCAACAACGAAATGGATTAGGCTAGGTATGTTGTGTATTTTTATATTATTGACCTTTGTGTCGTGTTGCCAAAATCTAGATCTCACTGTAAACTAATTTAAGTGTTAACAAAAAAGTCATATTTTTGCCATATTTAAACACGTAATTGATTTGTTTTTCCAACTCAATCAGGGTCACTGAGGACACTCCACTGGATTCGCCGGTGAACATAGCGGCGTACTCGAAGTGGGACACCATTTCGTCCCGTTTGGCTCCGGCCGAGCGCCCGGTTGTGTTGCACCGTGCGGGCTCAACCAACACGGCCAACGTGTTCGGATCGACCTTCTGCTATGGCTATCAGGACATCATTTTCGAGGTGATGCCGAACAATTACATCGCTTCGGTTACGCTGTACCATCCGGCGCCGTACTCGAACGAGTACGCGTTCGGCAGCGGAAGCAATGCCAGCAGCGTTAGCAACAGTACCCGAAATCTGCTGCAGGACAGCAACAAAAGCAACATCCGGGTCAGCGCATGACCGGCTAGCAGCTTCAATCAACTGATCCTGGACGGAAGTTATCTAAGCTGTGTTAACTAGATCAGGTACGCGTACGTGAGCTGACAGTCTTTCTCTTAACGTGCATGCAAATATAACTTTGCTGGGTTGGCAGGTGAAAATTGGATTGCGATCATCAAAAGTGGTTGACTGTCTTTCCCTCTGTCTAAGCTGGTAAGTCTATATTTTTTTACTATGTTTAGACCATTATATTAATATGATTGGCAATCGAACGCATGTGTCGAATGTTCCAAATTTTTCTCTTGATATGTACGCGCATATTTCATGTGTAGCACTTCTCAATAACAGTAGCATTATAACCTATTTATAAAAATAAAAAAAAGCATAAGCGCAAAAAAAGTTAAAACAAGTATTTAAATTACTGTCATTGCGACAGTAGTGTAAGAAAAAAAAAGTATAAATGTGATTCAAAATTCTTTTATTTTTAAAAGAAAGCAAAAATATATTACTCAATAAAGTTCGAACTAAGCTGAAGCGAAGAAAATGATGCGAAAGAAATGTCCTTTGTTTATTATCGTCCATCATACGCAGTTACGCAGCATTGGCGTAACTAAAGATACATCCTTGGGGAGGAGGGGCATCAATTAGGTATTTAGCGAACAATTTTCATGTGTAAGGAAAATTAGTAATTGTAATAACAATTCAAGGGTTAGTTCCAATATAATTCCTTTACATTCCTTAGGTTGGTTCTAATATAATTCCTTTACAAAAAATGTATGGAGAAAACAAGAATTTGGAATTGTAATGGTTCTTAACAACCCATTATTTGTAAGGTTCACTTGCAAAGAATCATAATACATGAGGTTAAAACTTTATCACACAAACGTTCATGTAAAGTTCCATGACCATTTCAGTTAAAGTTTTTAACCATTTTCGGTAAGGTCAAGTTATGGTTCGCGTTTATGCGGTTAGCCGTGATTATCAAAAGAGAAAGTCGAAGAAGAGAACCGTTCAAAGCAGATAGGCCCTTTTTTCAGCTCTCTATAGAACAAAATTAAGTTCTTTTCTCTAAATTCACGGGTTCAAGCCCACACGGAAAGACGAAATAACTCAAAATCGAGATGAAAAGTACTTAAAAATAAGTACTTCTCTAGCACTACTGTTTTGGATACAATTTTGTTTTCATTGATGAGTACTTTAAACTTAATCTTGAAGCACCGACAAACCGACATGACACTTAATTCTGACTAATGCCCGAAAATCGTTACCGGCCGAATAAAATGTGCAGTGATCCGAACTGTCAAATCTATAGGATTTTTTGATCTAGATAAAAATAATTTGTTCAGAATAGATCAGACACGAACCAATTCATAACTTTTGCATGGGGGTTCATGGTTTACCTAAATACTTCCCGCGAACACGGAGCCAGATGTCAGTAGTGTGCTTTGGTCAGAAATTTTATTGTTTTTGCTATGGAGCATTTCTAGCTCAAATCGTTAAAAAAAATGTCAATTTTGTCTCAACCCCTTCTGATTTGAATGAAACATTGCTCACGTGTTCGCTGCTACTAATGGTTGCATTTTTCATTTAAATATGATTTTTTTCCTCCAGAGTAACTTTTGAAAAGGGTGTAGCCGGCATAAAGTTGGCTAGCCTAAATCGGTCTACTAGAGTGTTCCGTGGATTGGTTTTTAAACAAATGGCTTAAGCGCCACCTCCATAGAGGACCACTTGTCGTTTCGGATGCCCGGCAAACTCAAAACCCCAGGGCGAGTTCAGTCTAATGCAAAAGATTGGAACGCGCTAGTAGACGTTAGGTACTTGGGATTCAAAGAAATACACTAAATCCAACCGAATGAAAACTAACCAGAAACCGTCTTTCTACCGGAGCGAATGCACTGGACGACCTGTTTCTCATCACAGGTCAAGCTCTTCCCCAAACACAAAATCTACACGCTTCAGGACAGAAATGGTGGACTGAGATTCCCAAGCAGTCCGACTTGGAGTAAAACCAAACAACGAAAACTACAACAACGAACGAAACGTGAGAAACTTCTTTAGACCAGTGCACTCATTGAACGGGAAATTCTAACCTAACAATCAACACAATTATTTAGCAGAATAGAAAAATATTTATTTAGAAAAAACTAATAGAACGATAATTTTATTATCTAACATTTTTATCCGGGAACCCTCATTCTTCTCTTACTCTCTCTCTAATTCCCTACCTAACTGTGCGGATTTCTAAATGGCTATTTATAACTGGCGCTTCATCCAGATTTAATGCATGCATGCGGACATTGTACGGTTCTACTCACGCTTCTGCTTTACCGACTGCTCCTCACCATCGTCTGTCGCCCCTGCGACGCTCGCTGCACGGAATACAAAAGATTCACCAAATTGGGTGTGAGTCTTGATTCTCTAATTCACCAACTGCTTTTCGTGGTGATATCCCGGTGGGTGGGAAAATTGCTCACCTGGAGCGCGATATTGACGGCGCAGCTCCCTTCTAACTCCGGCCGAAGTTAGGTCCTGTAATACCGACGCGTGGGGTCAGGGTAGTGGTAATAACGGGGGGCGCGGTATGCCGAGCGGGAGGTGGTGGGACGAAACTAGAGACAAAAAGCCGTCAAACGGCTATACAACTGGATGAGCGCATTGTTGCAAAACCGCATAGTAAATCATTTACCTTTTTGTTGAAACTTAAATCGCGCACAGTACCGCACTAGCCTACTAAACTTATTCAGTAGTAACTACACCTAATCAAAAGGAATTAACGAACAATTTATTACACTGAACTTAAAGACACTTCTCACATTTAAATATACCTCTACAAACACACCGCGAAACTATACCAAAAAACTTCACAGTCCTGCCTCTTCCACGGGTTGGATTAAAGTGGACGAGAAAGATCTTGGGATTCCTCAGAAAGGCCGCTAAAACAATTCTTGGCCTTCGTTCCGGAAACCGAAAAAACGATCTTATCAAAAGGCGATCTCCGATTACCTTCCGATTCGATTAGAGATACTATCTCTTTTCCTCCCAAGTATCCCACATCTGTCTAGCTCATTCCAATCTTTAACTTAAAGTGTTTTTCTTATTATTAAATTTCCGACGACAAGTAATCCTACTGGGAGATTATACTCAATCCCACGGATCAAATTTCATGCCACCTCAAATGAGAAAACTTACGCGCCTAGTGAGCGGATGAACAAATAATGAGTGAAATTTCATGCAGGGATAATTTACTCTTGATATGAGTTCACCAGTTGCATACAAGTGAACTGGGATAGTGCGTGTCGTTTCGAATAGTAACAGTGAACATTTGTAGCATTTGAACTTCATGCTACATTAATTTAATATCTAATTCGAATACCGCTACATAACACCGGGCTTGATTTACGAAAATTTGGTTGTAGGAGTACAACCAAATTTTCGTAAGGGCAAACCTTACGATATCACAGCATATATATCACCGATCAATATAATAAATTCAAAAAAAATAAATAAATAACTAAATAAATAGATATATCTCTAAATAAATAAATTTCAAAATAAATATGTAAATAAATAACTGTATAAATAAATAAATAAATAAATATTTGAATAAATAACTTTGTAAATAAATATCTAAGAGTCTAAGTAAATAAATAGGTAAATAAACTCTTCAATAAATAATTTATAAATTACAACAACAACATCCAAATTTCGTCAATTTATACAGTTACTGGAAATAATTGACAAAATTATTTACAAGCTCAACCGTTATCATGAATGGAAAAATGTCCTAACATTCCTGAGTCATCAGAGTGATCCATATAATAATTCAGCAGCATTAGTTTCAACTAAAAATCAAAATGGCTTTAATATCAATATTCCTAGAATTTTGATAAAAACCGAACCCGAAATTAACCCCAGAAACGTAACCGGATCATTTAGCAATGAAACTAACCATTCATAACGATGGATAAACCATCCCATGCTAAATTCACCTTACTGTCTGCTCTTAGATCGAACACCAAGGCTCTTCCTTGATACAATGTCTTTCTAAGCAACAAACTATATCTCCAAAACTACTTCAACATCATATGACCTAACGATCTCTTCAACACCAATAAAATTGGCTAGAAAGAGAGTTACATCATATTGAAAACTAACTCAACATAATAAATATGCTTAAATAGTCACTCCAAACATCGCTTCTATCATGTTTCTCACGTCAAGCAACAAACTCGACCAACCGAAACATACTAGAAATGAACTCCATGACACAACTCATGAACGCTGAACGTATATGGATGACTCGCAATGATTCATCAAGAAACGTCAAAACAAAGTGGCAAACTTTTGATTATATCGTAGCGATAACGAAGAGAAAGTTTATTTTAATCATATTTCCTGTGAATTTTGATTGTTTCGTGTAAATATGGATTGTAAGTGATACGGAAATGGTGCATTTGTGTGGAAAACATCAAATTAGTCCGGTTACAACAGGTTACAATGAAAATCGACGAACCTGGACAACAAAATTCTGGACTCTTCGGCAACAATAAATTGGATTTGAATTTATTTACGATGACCTACAACTTGAAGATTATGGACGGATCGACGGAATAATTGATGGAAACCGAAGTTTCGAACGGATGAGAGCGTTGTGGATCAGAGATAAGTTGGATTCCAGTTGCAGATCATTGTGTGAATTGGAATTAATTGCATGTTTTCTTTTTAGGAACAATCAGATGGGCAACAACAAAAAACAGTTCTAGCGATGCACAGATTTGCTTGCATCGCTTTGGCAATAAGCCCAAAATTTTACGTCACGATGGGGATATTGGACATTGCTCCACCATTCGAAGTTGGTTTCCAATTGGATAAATAATAAATAACAATTAACTATCAAATAGGTAATAAATAAATAAATAAATAAATAAATAAATAAATAAATAAATATGAAAATCTGTAATTGAATATTCTAATCAAGGTAAATAATGCATCTCTTAAAGTAATAAATAATGCATCTAATAAATAATAAATAAATAATCAAATAAATAAATAAATAAACATCTTCATAAATAAATAATATGATAAATAGAATAAATAATATCTCTATACATGTTCATCATAAAGCCTCTAGCATTAAGTACTAAAATAGCTTTAAGACTCGATGTGCGCTACATACTAACATGTATCAATTGAAAGAATTTACCCATCGTTACTATCAACATAAACATTATGAAACTTTGGTAGAGTGGGGAAGTACATTAACAACCTAAAGGATATTTTTACAAAGCAAATTATTTCTACATTGGTCCTTAGCTTCTTATTTTCTCATCAAGTCAGTTGTTTTGTAAGCTCGATTGACTAAGATTTGCTCTTCATCGTCGATCCATTTATGGATGACCTCCGAACCTTTGATACGATCAGCATCTGAGAGTCCCCAATCTCAGACTCCCGCTTTATTATTTCCCTTTAAGGTACTCCTCGTCAACGCTTTTAAGCTCGGAGTTTATGGAATATAGCTCATCGTCCTGATG